TAACTAAGCCTTTTATAATATTTTAATAAAAGAGCGCCACCTGCGCCCCTAGTTGTGATTACAACAGGGATACTCAAGAAAAACAAATTTTAAAAAACTATTTTTTTCTAAATCTTAAAATTTTAGTTAAAATTTTAGCACCTATTCAAACTTCAATTATGAATTTAGAGGCTTGCACAACAAATTTAGCTGATTGTTTTATACAATTTATTTAATTAGCTATTAAAAAACTCTCAAGTTTTTGAATTAAAGATTTTAAAAGCTATTATATACAAGTAATTAACAAAAGATGGAATAGTTTTAATATTGATAACTTTTTGTTAGCATATTTTCTTCTCCAGGATATTGTAATATGTTGTGATATAATTTATATAATACTATACACTACTGACTAAAGCATTTTCTTATTATAAGATCCTATAAAAAAGATTCAAGTATTATTTAAAAAATTTGATAGATTACTAAATACTATCTAGAGTATTTTAGTCAATTACATATAGTATTATATTTATGAATTAATATATAATATTAAATTAATGTTACTTCAATATAAATAAATTTTTATTTAGATATTAGGGAATGATAAATAATTTCAAACAATTGCAATAGCAGCAATTCAAATATAACAAAATGAAGAATTTGATAAGTATGAATATGCAAAGCTTGTAATATATATGTAGCAATTTCAAAAAAAAAGAAGTGTTTGATTTACCTTAAGGTAGTTGTATCTATTTCTGAAAATAATCCTATTGTCAGAAACCTTTTATTCTTTCACTACAACATACTGTAAAGCACAATTTTGATCAATAAGTTCATGTAAATACAAATAAATAAGTTAAAATATCATCTTAAACCAAATTTGATTATCAGTATAATCATAAAATTATACTTACTATTTAAGTTTTTCTATAAGATGGATTAACTTTTAAAATTTTTTTAAATCCTCAAGCTTTTTTTTACCAAATTTGCTTTATATTAAAATGATTTTATATTAGATACTGAAAAAAAAGCTGTGTTAGTTCAAAGTTACTTCAAAAAAAAAATAAAAAATAATTAGTATTTAAAGTTTTATTAGTAGTACAATTCAAAACACTGTATACACCAATGGTTTTTTTTTATGAAGAATGTCATTTAAAGAAATATTTTACCAAACAACCCTTAAGCAAGACCAGTACCAAGGAGCTTCTCAGCTCCAGCAAGACTATTATTAAGGAACTTCTCAGCTTTAGCAAGACTAGTATCAAAAAGCATCGCAGCTTCAACAAAACTAATACCAAATTCTCTGAAAGACCAATACTAAGAAGTTCTGAAGCAAAATTAGTATTAATGACTAGAAACTTCTCAACAAGCTTAAATTCATGCAGTACTAGAATTTTTAACTGAACAAGAGACCAACTTAGTCTCACTTTTAAGTATTTACAGAGTTTCTATTAAGTTTAGTGCTGCAGACCAAACATTATATAATACTATAGCAAGAGGTGAAGTTCTAAACTACTGTAGCTCCCTACTATACTTACAGCTAAAGAGGAAGCTGAAATTGCTAGATACTGTTTAAACATGCAGAAAATCAGGTTTGGGCTTACTAAAGAAGCTGTCAATATGATGATAATACAAATTTTTAAAGTCAAAAATTGAGATCATCCATTTAATAGTTCTCTTGATAGAAAATAGTGAAACTGATTTATGAAGAAACATCTACAGCTTTTATTTTGCACTCCAAGAGCTTTTAAAAGCTGTGCTATAAAAGGAAATCTTGTGATTCTTAAAGATCACTTTATAAAATTAAAAAAATTATTGATGAACATTCTTTAATAGCTGATAAAATCTGAAATATAGACGAATCAGAGTTTAATATTTCAAACATATTTTAGTTTGTCTTATAATTTCTGGTACAGATACTTACATTTTATCTTTACTTATTTACAAAGGAGTTAACATTATTGAAAGATTATTATTAAGATTATCAGTTTCATCTGGTATAATTGCTAGATTTACAGATACAGGTTATATGTATAAAGATATTTTTAGAATATATATTGAATATTTTAACAAATCAATTCCATCTGCAAGACCAGTTTTACTTATGCTTAATGGATATAGTAGTTATATTGATTTAATTGACGATTCTCCAGTCAACTGAAGAATGATCATAGTAAAATGTGACGCGGTTCTATATATAAATTACTATAGGTGCGAAAGTAGAAATTTTCTAGTGATTGTCCAAAAAAAACTTTTTTTCATACTAAGTTAATCATTTTTGAGTCTCTAATTAAAGTTGTAGAGCTCATCGAGTCGAATCTAATGGTAGTTAAATCATTCAAATCAGCCTTGTGAATGCCAAGATATCTTTGTAAAACGTTTTGCTATCTAAGGTGAAAGAGGGTATTGTAACAAAGAGGGTATTGTGACAAATTCGTGATATCTCGTGATCTAGTGATCAGATTCAAATAATTTATATACCATTCGATTCGTCTCATCAAGACAAATCGAATGGTGCAAAAATCATCCAAATCCGATCACTAGATCATGAGATATTGTCAATAACATGTTAAAATAATTATTTTATAAAAAATTTTGATGAACTACAAACGTATAGCCAAGGAAA